GGAAGGCGGCCAGGGAGAAGAAAACTGCTGAAGTGAAGAAAAGAAACAAAAAAGTCCAAAGATTTCAGTTGATTATAAGTCCAATAGAAAGTTCTAATATTATGATTGTCCCAAATGAGTAACTAATAAGCAAAGAAATCTCAGAATATAGTAATAGATAAACAATGTCTGGGACCAGAGGAGAAACTAATCCCACCGTGGCCTGCCCTGAGCATATCACGTCACACCAGGAAACAGCAGATTCTGTTCTGAAGGAAAACAAAGAGTCTGGCAACCACATGGCATCCAAAGAGATGGTCAGGGCAGCAGAAAGGCTCACTACTTGGAGGCATAAAGTAACTACCTCTGAATATATTTAAAAGCTTAGAGGAAAAGACCTGTCTTGTATTGTACCCAATGATGAAATAAGAACCAGTAAGTAAAAAGTGCCAATTATCTGCAAGCAGTAGAAGCAAAACTTGCTAAAGATGAGGGCTGTGGCTGCATGCGAGGCCCCTCAATTGGAGGTGCCCTGGCAAAGCCTGGATGATTTTCTATAAGAACAAAAGGAGTTTCTGTTCTGGACAGGAAGGTTGTACTAAATGATTAACATGCTGTTTTATAAATCTCTTCCCAAAATCTATCGGATATAAAAGGTACAATACATGGCTACATTTGGGCTGACATGGAGCTCCAGTAAGAAAATAGAAAAGATTATGCAACCTTCCAGATGCTTAGTGGGTTGAACCCCACGCATTCTTCACTGCTCTGGAAACTCTAGTAACACAACAAAATAAAAGACAAAGGAGAAAAAAGGAAACGACAGCCAAGAACGCCAACAAATTCATGAAAAGACAAAAAACTTAATTTAGGAAGTCCAATATTCAAATAAAAGAAGTTTTAGAATAACATATTATAATGTATCACCCACCTCTTGGCCAAGGGAAAAAAAAAGGTCGGGGGTGGTGGGGGTGGGGGCACGGGTAGGAAACAGAAGAAAGCAATTTTCCCAGAGCTTGACAAATGTGGCTCTCCTTAGGGCCTGCACAGGCCAACACAATGAGTGGTGCGACAGATCCTCCCAATGTACTGAGTGTAGTTCCATGGTAGCAGAAATGAAGAATCTAAACCTTCTAGTGGTGGGTGCGGAGGAGGGGGACTCACAAAAACAACACAAAAAAAGGACCATAACTTAGTATCAATTCTTGAAACCAACATTTTCAGACATGGAAGATCTGACGGATCTATTCACACTTTCTCAGGTAGCTACTGGAGAATGTTCTTCACCAAAACATGACAACACATGAAACCAGAAATAGGAGACATCAAGAGACAGACAATTCCCAGAAGAAAGGTGAGGAGAAACACCAGCAACTACGGAGAAGGTCAAGTGCAACCAGTACAGAGGAAGGCATGAGGCAGAGGGTGTGGAAAAAGTGAGTCCAAGAAAGAGACACAGCTGACCGCCAGATGTATCTGACCACACTGAAGAGAATTTTGCAAATTTTGTGAGGGATTTTGGGAATAATTAACCAAAATATACATACCTTTAATACTGACTTTATCCAAAAGGTGAAGGAGGGAAGGAGTTACCCATGTAAGAACTAAAACCTCCTCTTCATAATTAGAAGATAAGTAGATTAGAAACAGTTACATACAGGCAAATTATTTAGAAATGTGGAAATAAGAGAAAACAGCTAAGAGATGAAGGTGGCAGTCCCAAATGAGTAATTCAAAGATGAGAAAGATGGAACAATTGTTATCTTTTGCTATAAACCTTGCAATATACCTCTGACTTCTTAGCCTCTGTGAAGAGTCTTCATGAAAGAACTACAGGCAGAATATTTCCAAAGAAGTTGAGAAAAGACAACCTATAGTAGAATCTGATAGGACATGCTACAACTGATTGTGATTGTGTATAGAACAATAAAGGGCGTAGTTCAACAAACTTAGAAAACTTGTAAAAATTTAAGGTGTTTAAAGCTTACAGTTATTCTTTGATTATTCGCCAGCAGGCATTTGGAGACTTTTGAAATCCATCACCTGTTACTGAACCAGTAGCACCAACAGTAAACTTCATTCACTCATGGACTTAACTATCCTGGCTTGCCCTCTGACACAGCAACTTGATGTGGTAAAGTTTTATTGTGATTTTTTGAGCACAGGGCAAAGACTGAAATTTTTCTGAACAAGAAGAACAGCTGTGAATGACACTTACTGAACACTAGACAGCTGTAGAAATCTGCCTTTGCTGAAGTCTCAATGGCTGATATGTGAATCATCTACTAAATTAATGTCATTTAAACAACTTTCTCTGGTTGATAAGGAAGGTCAAGCTGCTTCAGACACTTCCTGTAGGATATGAGCTCTCCATTCCCATAAAAAATTGGCAGTGGACCTGTTTTCTGAGCTGAAACTACAGTTACATAGCATTTTGCAGACCTTGATGCAAAGGCAAAGGAAATCTCCATATTTCAAAATCCATTTAGGGGTGCAATTAAGGAGCTTTCACCTAAACTATAATTAGAAATGATTAATTTACTACGTAATGACATGCTAAAAAGTAAGTATCAAGAGAAGAATCCAAGAGAATTCTACATATGCCTTCCAAATAATGAATATACTCAACTGAAGTAATATGCTTGGGGACTGATAGAGAATGTGGGAGTACTTACCTGTGTAAAAAGACATTTCCAAAGATGAAAAATGTTAAAACCTTGCTGCAGATCAATATTAATAGATTTGATGTACCTTTGCAATACATTTTGATGAGAGCTACTCTAACTTTAAAGACCAATTAGGTGAAATATTATCCCCCTAGAAAAAAGAATTCCAGTCTTCTCACTAGTAAGAGAGAGCTGTATTACAGAAAATTGAATTCAATTATTACATTTGAATCTCATCAATAACAAAGCCTGTGAAAACTTGTTGTGTCTCTTGGTATATAAACACCTTCATAAAATTCTCTTTTTTGCCTCTTCGCCCACAAAACCTAAAATATTTATTATCTGGCCTTTGCAATAAATGCTTTGTTTGCCAGTCCCTGGTCTAAAATGCCCTACACCCACAGTGCTGTTCCTCTCCAGGAACCCTTGTAACCACCTGGCATTGATTCTAGGACTCCTGCAGACTGTGAAGGGTTCACTCTAGTGTGGGACAGCATGCTGACGAGCAGAGATGTGTAAAAGGAGGAGGAAGAGGAATAACTAAAGGTTAGAAATGGTTCCGCAAGCTGCCAAAGCTAAGAATCTCTATCAGCAAAGGAAAACAAAATAAACAACAAGGAGGGAGAGACAGAAAGTCTCAAAAATATCCTGAGAAATGCCTCTGACATTTTAGCTCCTACCACCAAACTATTAATGATACCTATATTTTGTGAAAAGTACTAAAGACACAAAGAAGTTAAAGCTGCTTACTCACAAAATACTTAAAACGTAGTTAAAGAGAAAAAAATAATTCTAAAATAATTTCATGAGATGCTCTAAGAGTTCACAAAGGAGTGACCACAAGGGAACTGGAATAATCCAAGGTGGTTTGACAGAAAAGGCAGGAAGAAAGCTGAGCCCCAGAAGACGTGAATTCAAATACAAAGAACAACAATAAAACTCTATGAGGCCGGGTGCGGTGGCTCACGCCTGTAATACCAGCACTGTGGGAGGCCTAGGCAGGCAGATCACTTGAGGCCAGGAGTTCAAGACCAGCCTGGCCAACATAGTGAGACTCCGTCTCTACTAAAAATACAAAAATTAGCTGGGCATGGTGGTGTGCGCCTATAATCCCAGCTACTCAGGAGGCCGAGACAGGAGAATTGCTTGAACCCAGGAGGTGGAGGTTGCAGTGAGTCGAGATCGCGCCACTGCACTCTGGCCTGGGCGACGGAGCAAGACCCTATCTCAAAAAACAAAAAAAACTCTATGAGACAAGGAGCCACAAGGGGAATGAATACTTGCAGAGAATTCTCCACATGGGATTCAGGCAGAAGAATATGGAGGTGAAGTTGAGAAAATCCTAAGTTGTGTACAAGAATCTGAATATCGGGGACAAGAATAGGACGTCACTGTTTAAGTGCAAGGGGAACTGCAAGGGTTGAGTAGGACTGTTCTTCAGGGGCTGGGGCTGAGGAGACACCATATGCAAAGTAGTATTTTACATGCCTATGAAACATCCACCTGGCAGTCAGAAGCACAGACCCCTCACAGCAAAACCACCATAGGATCTCCCCAGGCAACAAAGTCTGACCTAGCTTTGCAGCCGTGGAAACAAAAAGAAAAAGACAGTTGCAAGAGTCAAGAGTAGAACCAACAGGCCCTGGTAAATCACTGCTCATCAGGATAAAAACAAAGCCGAGTAAAAAGTGACTAAAATTTCAAGTCTTAGAGCTAGCACCAGTTCAGGAAGGTAGATGATTAAATGATTTTTGTCTACCTTCTAGAGATACAATGGGAACAAATGAAATTTGATTAACTATGCTTGCATTTTCCCCAAAAGGAACTACTGTGCCACTTCTGCCACTTCCTAGTAAGTGTCAACTGGGCCAAAAGTCTAATATGCAAATTCAATCTCTAATCTTCAATAAAAAGTTCTAAAGTGATGGAGATTAGGACTCTGAAAGACACAAGTGACTGACCACAAGTCAAATGTCCTTTTGCTGGTATAAAACAAAAACAAACACAAAGAGAGAGCCCCAGTGCCCTGGAAGCAGTGGCCTGGGTGGCGACTCTTTCTCTGCATGCTGCTACTTCAGCTTACTAGGCCTGGCTGGTCTTTGGCGCCCCTCTCAATAACCCCCTGTAAACTTAGAATCCCTTGAGTTCTGCAGATTTAAGATATACCAAAGCAGACTAAAGAGGGTGTCATTTAACTTCCTAAAAATACCAGAGTACCACAGAACCATACTGCACCTAGCTCAGAGAGACTGGTCTCCACCTGGTTTGCTACGACTCCAGGGTCTCACAACAGAACCATAGCTTTCCTTGATGTCATTAATGGAAGGAAACTCCTGCTAATCGTAACGTTCTTACCTTTCAAAACAAGTTTAAAAATTAAAAGAAATGTTTTCTTCTTGGTGGCTCCTTGCCCATTACAGGTTATCCTGGTAACAGTTTTCCTCCAATTTACCACATTAGCAGATTAGCAGGAATAAAGTGGGATATGGATATGAAACAAGCTCTCCTGTAAAAGAAAAAAAAAAAAGCAGATAATCACATTTAATGATAGCTGCCATTAAAGCATACTGGGTCAGGGTCTTGGGTCACACAGAACTATACCACAGGGAATTGAGAAGTTCTAGTTAATCATTAAAATTTTTCTATAAGAACATAAGAAAAAAGGCACTGTCAGCTCTCTACCTTAGCTTTTATCCTACATTACAGTATCCTACATTACAGCTTGTATCCTACTTTACAGTAGCTCAGAAGTAAATACAGATGTCATAATAGCACTATCAATGAGTGAAGAAGAAAAATACATATTCTCACCTTTGTCTTCTGAAAACATCAATTCTATTCTTATCCAACATAGGGCCCACTATAAAGGCACCACACTTTAAAACACTACAATTTTACAATTTCCTTCCTTTAAATGCCCCCTAGCAGTCCACTTAATACATTTAATAATAATGTCAGGAAGCATGACATTAAGATCACTGAAGTTCTAGCTATACTCAAATTAAATCTCTAATGTCAATTAACCAAACACTGCACATGAAAAGGATAGAAATTATCTTCCAAGGCACGCACTTCATATATAGCTTAATATTGCGGAAAAATACTTAAACTGTGGACATTGAATTAATTAGAATTCTTCTAAGTAGTGAAGTCTGACAGGGCCAAAAAAAAAAAAAAACCAGAAATCTTCTAAGAATGCAATCTACAAGGCATCTCCAAAACAATGCTGTTCATCTAATGTCTTTCCCCCATAAAACTCATACTACATTGTGATATCAACATTTTTCCTCAAGTAAGATAAATTATGTTAAACATTTGTTAAAATCAATCAACAAAAATAACAGTAACAAGCCTAGGTGCAAATTAAAATGAGCATATTTAATTTCAAAAATAAAATACTTTACCAGTTAGGTGGTTTTTGAATATACACTGCAAAAAGTATAATCATCCAAATTTTTGCTTAAAATAAGAATAGACCATGTGGCTGTGCTGCTGGAGTCCTTAGACAAAACAGAAAGGTCCTCTATGGCAAATCCCTCTTCCTTCCAATTTAGGATTGTGTATCACATCGAAAGTCCTATTTCCTTAATTTCCTCTCATCTGAAACAGTTCAACATTTTTTTCCATTCATTTCACTGACATCTTTGAAGAATATGGGTTATGTGTTTCTGGCAGTAGTACTACATAAATGAAGCTTTGTTTCTCCCAGAGCAACACAGAAAGAGACAAGATGATGTCAATTTGCCCCATTATTGGTGATAATTTCAATCACTTGGTTAAAATTATATTTGCCAGATTTCTTCACTGTAAAGTGAGCATTTTCCTTAGTCATTAATTCATAATCTGTAGAACAATACTTAGAGACTATGTTCTTAGAACATTCATCTAGTAATTTTAGTGCCAACTGGCAACTCTTGTCTGAATCAACTGATACTCAGTTATGAAAATGATGAGGTTTTTTGAGGCAGTCTACGGTTCCTCCTGGCATTCAAACTTCAGTGAGGGATGCTCCCTTCTTCCCACTTATTCTTTTTTTTTTTTGAGACAGAGTCTCGCTCTGTCGCCCAGGCTAGAGTGCAGTGGCGCGATCTCGGCTCACTGCAAGCTCCGCCTTCCGGGTTCACACCATTCTCCTGCCTCAGCCTCCCGAGTAGCTGAACTACAGGCGCCTCACTGCAAGCTCCGCCTCCCAGGTTCACGCCATTCTCCCGCCTCAGCTTCCCGAGTAGCTGGGACTACAAGTGCCCGCCACCATGCCCAACTAAGTTTTTTTATTTTTAGTAGAGACGGGGTTTCACTGTGCCCGGCTAAGTTTTTGTATTTTTAGTAGAGACGGGGTTTCACCGTGGTCTCGATCTCCTGACCTCGTGATCCGCCCGCCTCGGCCTCCCAAAGTGCTGGGATTACAGGCGTGAGCCACCGCGCCCGGCCCTTTCCCACTTATTCTTTCCTTATGTCATCAGTATGGACTCACAGATTCGTATTTTATTAATTTTCATTTATTTTTTTTTTGAAGACAGGGTGTTACTCTCTCGCCCAGGCTGGAGTGCAGTGGTGCGATCTCAGCTCACTGCAACCTCCACCTCCTGGGCTCAAGTGATCCTCCTGCCTCAACCTCCTGAATAGCTGAGATTACAAGCAATCGCCACCATGCCTGCTTAATTTTAATATCTTTTGTAGAGACGGGATTTCACCATGTTGGCCAGGCTGGTCTCAAAACTCCTGACCTCAAGTGATCCGTCTGCCTTGGCCTCCCAAAGTTCTGGGATTACAGGTGTGAGCCACTGTGCCTGGCCAATTAACATCATTATTCACTCTGATGTTCAAATTGTTCCACATTTAGCCAGTGGGAGCCCCTTCCAGCATGCTCTTGTATGCTTTTCCTAGTTCTCAAGCACTTCCTCATTTCCTCATGTAACATGTTCTGGATTTGTCTTATGCATTCTCTGTTCGACTTCGAAATCTGCCATTTCTCCAAGGAGTCTTGGTTCCTTTTAGTGGGGGATGTAATTTAGAAATGAAGGTCTGAGAGCAAAGTACGTTCAAAGATACTGGGGCTGGCACTTCCTCTGTCCTTTTATAGTGAACAAAGCTGGGAAGGAATGTCAATTTCATATGTTCCAACTCTGTTGTGTATCCCTGACTTTTAAATATGAATAAAAATCAAGGATTACCAGACACCTCCAGAAAGCCTCTACCATAAAAAGTAGCAAAACAAACAGAAAAATGCAAGTTAGAGGAAAAGACAATCAGAAAACACGAAAGAAAAGTGAAAGCCTAAAATGGAACATTTTAGCAACATTTTCCAACATCCAACCCACAGGGTAGGTTCTTTAAAAAAAAAAAAAAAAAAAGACAGAGAGAGAGAGAGAGAACAAAAAACAGAAGGGAGGAAATCAGATAAATAATTCCCAAAAATGTTCCTGAAAACAGACCCACACCAAGGAACATTACTGTTAAACTGCATGACCCTGGCACAAAGAAGAGCCTAGGTCTTCTACAACCAAAAATATGAATAGTTTCAGATTTCTCAAGAACAGAAAACAAAAAAGTGAAGTAACACAACACACCCATTAGGATGGCTACTATAGGGAAAGAAGAAAAAAAAAAAAAAAAAAACAGGAAATAAGTGTCCATAAAGACGTGGAGAAACTGGAACTCTTGCGCACCACTGGTGGGAATGTAAAATGGTACAGCAGCTATGGAAAAACCATATGTTCATTCCTCAAAAAACTAAAAACAGAATTACTATATGATCCAGCAAGTCCACTTCTGGTTCTACACTCAAAAGAACTGAAGGCAGGGTCTTGAAAAGATATTTGTGTACCGTGTTCACGGCAGCATTCCTCACAACAGCTAGAACATGGAAGTAACCCAAGTGTCCATCAACAGACGAATGGGCAAGTGAAGTATGGCAGAGATGGAGCATCCCCGTCCAAAATGCTTGAGACCAGAAGTATTTCAGATTTCCATTTTTTTGCATTTTTAAATATCTGCATATACATAACAAGATATCTTGGGATAGGGCCCAAATCTAAACATATAATTAAGTTGTGTTTAAAGTGTACTTTATACATATATCCTAAAGGTAATTTTACACGATATTTTAAATAAACTGTGTATTGTGTGTCTATATTTTAACTGCAGCCAGTCACATGAGGTCACATGTGCTGTATGAGGTCAGGTGTGGAATCTTCCACTTGTGGCATCGTGTCGGCACTCAAAAAGTTTCAGACTTTGAAGCATTTCGAATTTTCCAATTAGGGATGCTTAACCTGTATATACATGTAATGGAATATTACTCAGTCTTAAAAAGGAAATTCTGATATACGCTACGATGTGGATGAACCATAAAAACGTGCCGAGTAAAATAAACCAGTCACAAGAATGACAAAAATGTCTTTTGATAAAGGCACAAGACTATGTAATTCCAACTTATTGGAGGTACTCAGAATAGTCAAAATCAGAACCAGAAAGCAGAATAGGAGATGGAGGATAGTGATGATTGCACAATGTTATGAAGGTATACTATTAAACCGTACACTTAAAATGGCTAAGATGGGAAATTTTGTTAGATGTATTTTATTACAATAAAAAAATGATGAGGCAATGTCTAAAGAATTCTGAAGAGATGCGTTCTGGCTGAATGTCTGTTCCCTCTCTCTTCCATTCATATGTTGAAGTCCTAACTCCCAGCATTGTTATATTTGGAGAAAGAAAGAAATTACAGTTAAATGGGGTCATAAGCGTGGGGCCCTGATTCGACAGGATTTGTGTCCTTATGGGACACCACATGCACATGAACCAAAGGAAAGGCCATGTTGAGACAGTCTGGGCCATAATCTCGAAAGACACAATCTTGAATGCCACAATCCCAAATGCTGAATGCTCATCTGCAGTGGATTCTAATTATTGACTGGATAACTTTGTGAACATTAGAATTCTGGGCGTGTTGGCCGGGCGTGGGGGCTCACGTCTGTAATCCCAGCACTCTGGGAGGCTGAGACAGGCGGATCATGAGGTCAGGAGATCCGAGACCATCCTGGCTAACATGGTGAAACCCTGTCTCTACTGAAATACAAAAAAAATTAGCCGGGCGTGGTGGCGGGTGCCTGTAGTCCCAGCTACTCGGGAGGCTGAGGCAGGAGAATGGCGTGAACCCGGGAGGCAGAGCTTGCAGTGAGCCGAGATCACGCCACTGCACTCCAGCCTGGGCGACAGAGCGAGACTCTGTCTCACCAAAAAAAAAAAAAAAAAAAAAGACTTCTGGGCGTGGTTTTGAAAGTCAGTTTGCAAGCTCTTCTGAGCTGCTATGACTTTTCTTTCTCTTCTCTATGCTCTTCTCATTGTTTCAGGATTGCCCGCCCCCCACCCACCGCCTCACCCCGCCAGCTCCTGGTTCTTTGTCCCGGCCATCTCCTATGGTACTGCACTGTGTCTGCCTTGTGGAGACCCTGAGGATGTTATGGATGGAGTTACCAAGCCCCAGCAGGCTGGTCCAGTTCC